GTTCAACAGCCCTGCCGCAGGCAGCCCAGGCAGCTAACTGCTGGGTTCTCTGCCCTCTCTAACCATGTATTTTCCTGTTTGTTGTTTTGTTACTCCTCACCCAAGGATACTTTTTCCATTGATCTTTAGAGAAAGTGGAAGGAAGGGAAGGAGGAGAGAGAGAGAGAAAGAAACATCGATGTGAGAGAGACACATTGATTGGTTGCCTCCCGCACGCACCCCCATGGGTGCAACCATGTATGTGTCCTTGACCAGGAATCAAACCTTCGACCCTTTGGTGCACAGGCAAACGCTCTAACCACTGCTCAGGGCTGACCATGTATTTTCAGTTGAAGGTCTAAAGGGGTCTCTCAGTGGAAGAAGCCGGCCAAGGGGTCAGCTTTGACCCCATCCTTGGCTCAGCACCTTGGTCTCTGAGCCCATTTCCCATCTATTAAAGGAAGGTGGTGACAGCCCCCGAGATCTCAGGGGGTCATACGCATAAAGCCATTAGCACGGAACAGTAAATCACAGTGATGACGTATTTGCTAAAGGCCCAGCGCTCTTACAAGTACTTCTGTTATCTGGTTCACTTTCCATGACTCTCTGTTCGGTCCTGTCATTACCCCCATTTTAGAGAGGCAGAAGGGGAGTCGCACAGAAGTGGGCACCCCCCCACACACCTCTGTGCCAGGTACTCGGGCGTGTCCGTCACCGTGGCGGGCAGCAGGGCAGCTGCACGAGGTCACTGACTCACAGGCTGGGCCTGGGCAGTGCCCCCCTGGGTGGCTGGTATTTCCTTTCGACTATCACACCAAAAACTGCCGACAGGAAAGCTAAGGTTTTCCACTTGTGTTTGATGACCAGCAATTTCAGCACAGGCGAGCGGTTAGAAGCGTAGACGGAGTCCAGGCGCGTCCCCCCCTCCCCCCCCCCATGGCCTTGAACGTGTGAGCACAACAGGGACCTGGCCGCAGGTTTTGGAACCAGCTTTCTTTGTGTGTTCAAATCCACTTTTCCTTATTTCCCCCCGTGCTGCGTTTGCGGTCACGCTACTCCGCCCTCTTTTTCCTCCTGAGAACTCTCAGCTTGGGCACCTTCTGTGAGGAGGCGCTGGCCCCTGCCCTCGGGGCCTGCAAACCAGAGGTCAATCTCAACTTCCTCAGGAGTGGTCCACGGGGCTTTTGTTGCCGACTGGCCAAAATAAAAGGCCTCTTCCTACCGCTTTAGTTCCAACCACAAAGGGCTAAAACCTGGGAAACGGTATAAGTAGTATCAAATCATAGCAGGCCCACGGGCGGTGCTGATTTGCCGCAGGCTCTCAAACACTTTATAGTGGGGCGCTTTCGCGATGACAGTAGCAGCCCCATCTTTGCCTAATGGAATATACCTTTGTGAGGTGAAAGCCAGTAAGTAAAACTTTTGGCACAAAATCATCAAGTACCGTTTCCCCAGGTTTGCTGAGCTGTTCTCATGCCTCGCTTTTCCTTGCGGCCGTGGGGCTTGGAGAGTGAACCTCGGTGCATAGGAGCGCAGGTTTGGGCTCAGGGCACCTCATTCGAATCTCAGCTCTACCACTGAGTGATGGTGTCACTAGAAACAAGTCCCCTTGATTTCCTTGTGTGTGATGGGAGGATAACAAGGTCCCCTTTGCCTAGTTGTTACGAAGATAAATCTATGAAAAAGCATGTGGCACAGTCCCTGGCAGCCAATGAGGGTTGATAAATGGCGGCTGCCTTCTCTTTATACCGACTGCCTCAGGCCGTAACCATCTCCTGTGTGGCAGGTGTTTAGTGCGAGCATCCTCACTGGGATTCCACTCAGCTCTTGGTCTCCATTTCTCCCCCATCACCACTGCATCAGGGACAGGCACCCTCACCTGAGCCTTCACTGCATCAGGGACAGGCACCCTCACCTGAGCCACCAGCTCCATCCCTTTGGCACTCCTGTCTTCACCATGTGGTTAAATGCAGTCCCCGCATTCACTTTCCCACACAAAGGTTCCCTTGGGCAGAGGCCACCCACTTCCCTCTGGCTGAGTCCTGGGTCTCAGTCAGTGCCTCAGCCGGGGGTTCCCATTCACTCTGCCCTGACATACCGGGTCTCACCGAGCCGGAGCGTCTGGGCCTTGGGTCGGTGGCCAGCTTTTGCAGCCATACTGCAGCCTTCAGTTAATCTTTTGAGCTTGTCTCTCCACTCTAAGATGAGTGTGCAAACCATACATGTCAATGCATGTGCTACATACAAGGGCACAGAAAGCACCTGGTCCATGGCTTTGCCTAATATTCTCTGCACACGTTGATGAAACTCAGATGTTTTGGTGGCAATAACATCTTTCAGATGGATGTGTTCCTGGAACAGGGGGTCTGTCCAGATGAAAATCGAGCAGCTCAGGTCTGTGATGATGATGCCCTGATTGCCTGGCCTTCTGCTGGAAACAGCAATTTTATAATTATCTGGCTCGTGCTGAAAGACATTTAATAGAAAAACTGTTTAAGAGGGAAACTATTAGGACTTCCAATTAGTCCTAGCCTTATATTCATCTTAATATCAAGAAACAAGATTTATGCCCCCTCTGTTTCATTTGTCTTGATTAAGAGACAAATAATGTGTTATCTGGGTAGCTGACGGTGGCCAGTATAGCGTGCATGTGGGGTGTGCGCCTGTGTGTGTGCATATATGTGTTTGTGTGTGTGTGTCTATGTGTGTCTGTCTGTCTGTCTGTCTGCCAGTTTCGTGGTGTCTCTGGTGATGCCTGGAAACCCGAGGAGAGTGGGTAGACTTCCTTGGATAAAGGAGCGAATTGGAGAGGCTAGTGAGTCATCTCTTGCCAGGATGAGCGTGCTGAGCTCCAGGGCAGCGGGCAGCCTGGTTCCTGGGCATGGATGGCATTAGCCTGGATGTTACAGATGAGCACTTTGCAGGGGGAAAAAGGCCTGTTAACATTAAAGCATGGTTTTAATGACTTGAGGGAGGCTGTGACCTCTAAAATGCTGTGGCTTGTCCTTTGCGGAGTAAAATAGCTCTAAAGCTAACATGTTTTTTTCTTATTTTGAACTAGTCCATGTGCTCGGTCACGGCACCATGACTTTGTTAGGAATCTACAGTCCTAACCTGTCATTGTCCTCCACCTATTACACTATTAACAACGACACTCTCCCTTGGAAACAGGAATGTCCCATTTCACAGTGAACAGGAGAGAAATGCTAGAGTCTGTGTCCGGGAGCGTTTGAGGGGCTAGATGCATGCCAGCTCACTTATTCTGCCTCTTGTTTGAAGATGAGCTTATTCTTGGGTTAATATTTTAGAGACTCTCCAATTTGGTACATAATTAACCCCTTTTTCAACCCAAGCTAACTTATTTGCCATTTGATCATTATTTTAGAATTTGCTTACTTCTGAACATTTTAAGCGAACTGATCAGATAATGTGGGAAACATTTTTTTAACTGTGCATTCTGCTAAATATTCTGGGGAAACATTTTGGCTCTGCTTACTTAGCTAATGCCGGTTACATCATCACGGAGCTATAGATTTCTTGGGCATGCAACGTGATTGCATATTCATGAACAGCTTCAATCCTGAAATATTGGTAAATAACTTGGCAATTTTTTTGTAAGGTGGCCTATTAAAATGATTAGGTCTTTAATTGTTCACACAGAAGGAATGTGTGCTTACAGAGCAGCACCTGTTTGACAAGCAGCATCTCTTGTGCTAAGCAGTTTGGAGTATGAACACATAAATCACCTTCCTTAAACGAACTATAAGAGATGCTATTTTCCGCGTAAGAATGATTCAAGTTTGAAAATGTCAATAGATGCAAAAAGCCACCCTGGAGCTTTGCTCTCTCTCTCGAGAGAGGAGGAATGACATCGTCCATGTTAGCTGTCACCAGATGAAGGGAAATCAGATTGTCAGGCCCGGATCTCTAACATTCTTGCCAAAGTAGGACCCATTTACACATACAGATCTTCATACCCTTTGCTAAGAAAAGCATCTGTGGCAGTTTAGATGTTTGTGCGTTTGCCAAAGATCTTTCACTCTGAATAAAGTAAATGTCATGTCTGTTGTTTATCTCAAATTCAGCGGAGTCTTTTTTAAAGGAAATATTGGTGGGGGAGGGGAGAGGTTGGGGAGCTCTGGTTCGAGGGGCGTGGCAGTTTCTCCGGGGCCCTCAGGCATGGCCGGGATCTGGGTAAAGCAGCTTGAAGCACACATGGGTCAGGAACTGAGAGCACCCTCGTGGAGTGACAACAAAACAAATGGGAACGCGGATTCTTCCTGAATCCATACCTAGGCTGTCGGCACCAAAAAACTCCCGTTACTTCAGCCAAACTGATGACTTGGCATCGTGTGGACACAGCTGTCTTGAACTAAAATCTTGAATACTTAACATAGATGGCATTGAACCTTAAGGCGGCTTGTACATGGCATCTATCTGTAATGGTGTCTATAAATTGCCTAGCCTGCAGAGATTACAAATAGAACTTAATCGCCCCAACTTCAAGTTGGGCCCCATTGAATAGCAAATAAAAAAAAACCTAAGGCGGCTTGTACGTGGCATCTATCTATAATGGTGTCTGTAGATTGCCTAGCCTGCAGAGATTGCAAATAGAACTTAATCGCCCCAACTTCAAGCTGGGCCCCATTGAATAGCAAATAAAAAAAAAAAACAACCAGTGAGGTTGTGATAAAATGTCTTGACTAATAGGTACCCTTGGTAAGATCAGACCTTTAGTTAAGGGTATGTGGCAATTTGACTATGTAAATTGCCTTGACTATACGAATAGAGGTGATTTGTATGATGCATCTTTTTAAAAAACTGTATTTAACCATAAACATTCAAAATCGCAGCGAGGCCCTAACGGAAAGTGAACCCCGATGCTTGTCTCAGGACATCTATTCCAGGTGACACGTGGTGTCACTCCTTCCGAAAACTACACATTTGTCCTCTGCCCCGCTTACCGGTGCTGCTTGTTCTGCGGAGATAGGTGGTGACTCTGACTGTCATTCTATTCCCAGATGACATGGAGGCCATCCCGGTCAAACAGTTTGTGAAACACATCGGGGAGCTCTATTCCAATAACCAGCACGGCTTCTCCGAGGATTTTGAGGTATGTTTCAGAGTGAAGTGTCCAGAGACCTCATTCTCATTTTCCAGGGGTTTTTGTAAACCGGAAATGCATGGACTTCAAGCATAACCACAGGGAAAGCAGAAATCGTGTATCGTTTTCTTTTATTCCTTACACTTACATTATCACAGGCATTCTTTCCTGAATAAAAATTAGGTGTCACATGTCCCCGACATGCACTTCCGTGAAAGAACAGGCTGAGAGGTGGAAAGGCGAACTCGGGCTCCGTCTTCACTTTAATCCTAAGTGGGCGGCAGCCACCACAAGCACAGGGCTTCCCCACCCCCCGCTCCCACCGGGGATGTCCAGGGTGCACAGCTGTGGCAGGGCCTGCAGATTTGGAATCTGAGGATCACGATGCTGGCTCCACCCGTAATGAGCTGTGCCACCCTTGGGCCAGTCACTGCGTCTCTGATCCCAGCATCCTCCTTTCTAAAATGGCACCAGTGTCACCTACATCCTAAAGTTGGGGAAAATGAGTGATTGACTTCATCTTTGAAAGTGCTGGGGTCACGGCGAGGGAGGCCTGCGCAGGTGGGTGCTGCCTGGACCAGGAATCCTGGGAGAGGAGCCGCTAACAGGCATCTGGCTCCAGCACTGGCTGCAGCAAAGAAGGTAGCGCGCAGCGCGCAGCCGCCTGCCAGCTCTGGGGTCCCTGCCAGTTCACAGTGACAGGGTGGCGATGGGAGCGATTAAACAGACTAGACTGCCCTTTTCCCCACCGAGGCGCCGGGCTAGGCACATCCCTGGCAGCAGGCGCTGTGCCGAGGAGGCCAAGTGTTCATGGCAGCTCAGCTGTCTGCTAGCTTTCTGGGCAAGTCCGTTCCTCCCTCTGTCTCATTTCTCCTGAAAATGGAGACGATGATGAGGATGCTAACCTGCCACCTCTCTTCACAAACGGGCATGAGGATCAGATGAAGGGATGGAAGGCAAGCCTTTGAGGTTCTCTCGAGCCGCACAGCTGCGAGGTGTGGTTATTCCGCATGGAGGATGAGCAATAGCAATAGTGCCAGAGCCCTCTCTGCAGGTTCCGAGTCCCGAAGGCCATCCCCAGGCAGTGACAGCAACAACTCGTGTCACAGAAAGCCTTTCTCTTAGGGTCTGTTTTGTTTTGTGTTTTGAGCGGAATCAAAGCAGAGGTGGTAGAGCAATGTTACCCTGCCCAGCCCTGTGTTTCGTGGAACAAATAAAAACATGTCAAGTATGTAATGTCCCTAACCCTTACCCAAAAAGGAGCCTCTTCAGCTGCAGAGAACATGTTTTAAAGTCACACGTTTTGTATTCATGAGGGCAGCAACTGTGTGTGGTGTTCTAGTGATTTAGTTCAATTGGCTGTTGGCTGGATGACTGAGCGAGAATATTGAGGCATTTAACAATGTTGATGGTATTCAGGACAAACATTTATCCTCTAGAGAACAGAATTTGATCAGGATGATCAAATGCAACTCCAGTTTCTCAATTATTTATGATTTGAGACCCCAGTGCTATTCATCACAGCTGGCTCCGACACCATTTAATTATTCAAAATAATCAGCTACTCCTCTGTAAACTTGATGGGACTGAAAATGGCTTTGCTGCACCAAAACCATGCCTGTTACCAAATCCCGGGCATCTGCACCCTATTTCCAGCCTAAAAAAAGACGAAGGCCAGCAGCTTTTGGAGCCCGAATTGAGCTTTAGAGCTTAAATCTCTGAGCAGGTAGTTAGGGAGGGAGGGGGGACGGAGGGGGAAGGCGTTGCTCTGCTGGTGTCATTTCACAGTCTGTCCGGTTTGAAAGGTTGAAAACCAGAGCTGTTCAGAACAGGAGGAGTCTCCTTCCTTCTCAAGAGAACGGGAAGGGAGCAATGCGAAGGGGAATGAGACACAGCATGGGAGCTCACGGATACACTGTCGGCTTCTAACTGAGGGGCAATGGGCAGTGTTTAAAAACAGTAATAGTATTGCTTTTGGTTTGCTCTGCTAGAAAGGAAAACTGGTAACAGGCCATGGAAGGAGGTGTTGAGGCTGGTTTAGAAACAGGAGATAGTAATGGGCTATAAAAGGAAGGTCAGGAAAAGAGACTGTGTGTGATTTTTAAAACACAAAACAAAACCCTCATCATGGTAAGGGAGCAGTAGTAACCTCACCCCGGATCGCCAGGTCTTCTCACTGGAGTGGTGACGGCCAGCCTGCGCCTCGCTCCTCAGGACCACCCAGGAGGGGGCTGCTTCATTGTCCCCATCTTACAGATGAGGAAACTGGACCGTGAGAAAACGAAGGCCTTGGGAGGACTCCTTTTGAAATGACAGCCACAGGTGTTAAGTCCCAGGCTTTCTGAAGCGAGCCCCCATGCTGAACCTCGGCACGCTCAAGACTTCCCTCAGTGTCTGTGATGAGCTGACGTCAGCGGAGAAAAACCAGGATTACCAGGGATTGTCTGAGACGCATCCTGCCGCCGACGGCTCAACCATCGCCTTGGCGAGTGAAAACGGGGCAGGGGGAGGAGCCAGAATTCAGGAGCCCCCACTGAGAATACCAGCAGCCCATGACATGGTCTTTTTGGTCTAGAGCCTTCCCAGATTTCTGGGAATCTGACTTATAAAAATCTTATGTAACATCTGAATAAAGCCCTAAAATTAATTTTAAGATTTTAGAGAAATACCACTTGCCAGTGATATTTGGCCACTAAGAATAGAACAGCTCATCTAACAGGGAGGAGTGCCTGGTCATCTCTGCCACAATATAAAGTACGAGGAGGAGTGAAAGAGCGACCCTGCCCTCAAGGTCAGGGTGCTGGGTGCAGGCCGGCGTGTACTCCAGCAAAGGCAGAGGGCAAAGCAACGTAAGTGCTAACACAGTCACAGCATCCGGAGGAGCGCAGAGCAGATCTCTGTGAAATGACTGGGTACTTCACCGAAAGTTCTATGTGCCCCATCTTGTTAAAACATCATGGATGGCAGTTGGGGGGAAAATTGTGGCGAATAGCTGTTCCATTCTCAGAACTTTGCTGCTTGGAGGAGAAGGAGGAAAACGGTTCCCTGGTAACTCTGGTGGTGCTGAAAGCAAGCTTTTTGTCTTGTCGGGTAAATCTTGGAGCCTGTGAAAAGCTGGCGACATTATACCTCTGGCGGCTTTTGCAGTCATTGGCAATAACATCCATCATTGTCCCGGGAGGTGTTCAGTGACTCTGCTCCCTTGGCTGCCTGGGCTGACTTCATCCTCAGTCTCCCAGGCTCCCCTGTCATAATCCAGGGGCTCCCTCAGGCGCAGTGCTCGCGTGACCCTTCATAAAGGGGAGCTCGGGGCCCTGGGGTTGACAGGATTAATAGGCGGGGGCAGGAGAGTGCAGGGTGAGGCCAGAGGGCCGGGACCCTTGACCAGATCCTTGGGGGCATTGCTGCGTTACAATTAACTCCAGCTGAGCTAAATTTGGGCCCGTTGCTCATCTTAAATCCAGAGAACAAAGCCGTGTCCACCTGAGCCCCTGCCCTGAGGGACCGGCGGCCACGGTCACTTTATGTGAGATGCAGAGTGCGTGTGGCCCGGGCCATCAGGGGAACAGGGGTGATGCTGCGTGCAGACCGCCACCTGCCAGGAAAGATGCTGTAGAGTTTCCTGAGCCTCAGGGAGAAAATGCCAGTTTGGATCATAAATGTCTTGAAGAAAAGCATTTTTGAACACTTATTATGAAGAAAACCAAGTTTGATTAAGTGGAGGTTCATACGAAGGGTGAGACAAAAGTGAGTGAGCCAAGTTCCACAAATTGCGTAGAAAAGATCGTTTCATCTTATGATGACACTCCAGAGACGGCTGGCTTTCTGGAGCCTTGAGGCAGCCATTTTCCATAGACCTCTGGGGGTTGATTAAGTGGAGGTTCATACGAAGGCTGAGACAAAAGTGAGTGAGCCAAGTTCCACACATTGCGTAGAAAAGATCATTTCATCTTACGATGACACTCCAGAGACGGGCTGGCTTTCTGGAGCTGTGAGGCAGCGGCTTTCCATAGACCTCTGGATGGCAGGGGGGCGGGGAAGGGGAAGGGGAAGGGGGAGGGGACCAGCATGGGGAGCTAGGAGCTAGGTAAGTGGCAGGAAGCACAGCACAGGAGTC